GGTCTCCGAGCCGTAGGGATGCGCATCACTCGAGTCACGGCCGCTTGAGAGTTTCAGGGGTAGCTTGATGCCCGAGTGATGAGTATCTTTCGAGAAGGAGGGTTCCTGAGGGGTATGCCCACCAAGTCGATCATGTAAAACGTGATGGGGTCCGGCCGTTCAGGAGGAGAAAAGTCCCTTGCTTTGGGGTCCGGTCGGGAGTAATCGCGAAAAGTTGTCGAAACTCAAGCGTGACACCCACACCGTGCTCCGCTACAGCGGAACACAAAATTTGTTTAAAAAAAAAAAAAAGAAAAACATAATAATAATAATAATAATGAAATTGCTACAAATCTGTACACTTCATGAGAAGTGTTTTTTATATATTTCTTTTTTTTTTGTTTATTTTATAGATTTTATTCATATTTTTATTTGATCACTTTCCTCTTTTTGGTGCAAGGCAGCGTTAGATAAAGGCAAGTAAATTTTGTAACTATATTTTATATTTTATAAATCTTATTAATAATTTTCTTTAAAAAAAAAAAAAATTGCTACAAATCCGTACACTTCATGTGAAGATTTTTTTTTTTATATTTTATAAATTGTATTAATGTTTCCATTGCATCATTTGGTTTCTTTGCTGCAAAGCAAATAACTTTTATATTTCAAATTTTTATAGTTTTTTTCCTTTTGCTTTTCCTCTCACCTTTTGTTTTTTGTATTGGGCGTTTTCATGCACCTTGCTGTACACGATTGCGCGCTGACTTTCCCAGGGGAGAGACCCATATTAGTTAAGTTGCGGGGAATTATTTTTCTCTTCGTTTCTCTTTTTCGACTTTTGTCTCGCCTTTACCGCGTTCTAGAGTTTTGACTTTAGGAGTTTATTTTGGGGTTTTTACTATTTTTGCTTGGTTCACTGGGATTGCAGGGTAGGCTACGCAGCATCTCACGGGGTTCAACCTTTTTATGAATCCGAGCATCGGCAGAAGCAGTACTTCGCAAACGGCTAATCTAACACCAGCGACACGATTCGATCGGAAGTTTCAACGATTCGAACTCGGAAATCAAAACACTACTGAAGAATATCCCACCCGCAGTAGTTCAGTGGGATTTTTCGCAAGGTTTTTTAAGAAAGTGGGCAACCTTTTTGAAATGCCAAACGGTGAATCGCAACGCCAAGGAAGGTAGCAATAACAGTAACAACCAACAAGGCTCACAGGCAGAAGCGGCCAATTCCAATCAGCAACTAGTGGACATTCTAATACACCAGAGTAATACACCAGAATATCAGTCCTCAGACAGTCCTGCAAAAGCAGCAGGCAGATGATCCTAGCACCAGTGACGAAAGCAACCGAGGAGTGTAGACCTGAATCGATGGCATTTGAAATTTGAGGGGTAAAGGCCTCACTCACTGTTGAGAGTCTTATCTTTAGGGTCGAGTTCTACTGTCTAGTGGCGGGACAAACAAATAAATGGTACTGGCAAATACTGGAAGGTCGCGAAGGAGACACCACTTTTGACTATTTTGCTTTGAAAGCGGAGCTCCTAAACCATTTCAAGACAGCTGATTCGGACTATGAGCTGATAAGGGAGTTCATGGAACGCAAGCAGCAGCAGTCGGAGAGCTTCGACGATTACTGTGCCAAGATATATGATCTAACCTTTAACATGCGGAGAAAGATTCCCGAATAGGAGCTAATAAAAGTAATAAAATCGAACGTCAAACCCAGCCTAGCAACGCTCATCTTTGCCACCAAAGTAGAAAACGTTGCAGAACTCAAGGCCGAATGTAAAAGGGCGGAGAAGCTGCTAAGAGAAAGCAGAGCAAGAACAAGACGTGCTAGTGAGGTCAGTCAGGGGGGGGAAGAAACACTAACCGAGCAAAGAAAAAAAAGGGGAATTGCTCTGCCGCTTACAAGCTGTGCCGCGTGACAAATTCTTTCCTTAGCTTATCGCATTCTATTCTCCAAGTTTTTCACTTGCATCTAGAAAACTTTTCGGCGTTATCACCCTATACAAACTCAAACACAAAAATTGCATAAACGCTGAACGCCAGCAATTTGGTTTGAAAACCAGAACTTTCTATCGATAATTCGTTCAGAATCTCAACGTAATCTAAGAAACGAATCCGTTTGATACAAGAGTATCCGACGGCACATTTGCACATTTGGCATACAACTACTGGGAACAACCATTGACTGAAAGACTCCAAAAATATTAATCTATGAATCTCCGTCTTATTGCTAATTCCTCGAGTTTCATTAGCAACAAAACTCTTCATAATTCCATTCATCATATATTTCTAAACATGTTTTGTCAAACTTAGTGATCAGCTAAATTCATTCTGTTCTAAGTGAGTCCATGTAAAGAAAAAGATTGAAGATGCATCATGTGTCGAATTTTCAATTTGGATATTAATTTATTTTTGTTCCTTAAATCATTTTAGTGGCTTTACTAAGTTTTTTAGTTTGCTTTTATTTTCTTAAAAGGTCTGAACTGTTATATTGCTTCCATCGGGCCATAATGCCCTTTGCTATTTTTCTCACTTTGTTATAATTTTTACTGTTAGAATTGAAAGTATTTTTGTTCGATTCTGCAGAATTAAAAGAATACACTATGAGAAAGCTGTTATTATAAAGTTGCGACGTTGACATTGCAAAGTATTAAGAAGGCGTAAAAAGGAACAAACGAGCCATCATTACAAAATGTTTTATTCCGAACATTTGCTTATTACGTTTTTGGATACATGGCATATTAAAAATGTGTCGGAGTTAAAACAAAACATATCAATGCAAAATGATCTTATGGAACAAAATTTACAATATTATGAAAAATAAGTAAGAAAAATAGAATTTTACTTGCTGTATTGGCGTGATAACAGTGATAATATCACCTATTGGCCTGTCTGCTGTCGAAAAAATGGAAAATGTTGTTAGCCCTTAACGGCTATCGCGCTTGAGCCAACTGAAAGCCATGGTTTTTTATTTGGCTTAACCATATCAATTTTTTTTTTTTAAGTTTTCATATAACTCAAATCAAAGCCTCGAAAGTAAGTTTTATCCCAATTTTACGTGGCTCGGCATAAAAGTTGCTGATTTCCATTCAGCGAGCTCTTTATTGCCGCTTG